ACACTGATTTATCAATGGGAGCTGTCTCTGTGTGTCTGGTCTATCGGGAGAAATGGAGCCATCCCATGTTTTCTCCTCCAGATTATAATTAGAAGCCGAGTCTTTGCACAGCATTTTTAAGTTACTCTTAATTTTCAGCTTCTCATTAAAAATGTATATTTGTTGTCTGGGAAGATTTATTAATAGTTCTGCAAATTCTCTGCAGCTCGTTGGGAACAGATTGTATATTTAAATCGGCTTTTCAGGCACTCGAGAGAGCAAGCGCCACCCTCCTCGGTGCTATGCACGTGGAGAATACTAAGCAGGGGGCTTCGTGTAGCACCGGTTCCTCTCGATCTTTGCCAGCACCTCAGCACCTTCACTTCAGCAGCGGCACTTCTGGGTCTACCTGACCACATCAGGGGCCAAGGCTTCCAGAAGTCCAGGAAGTGCTGGCTTGGGTGGAGCCCGTGGTCACGCGCGCTTCTCCCTTCTGTCCACAGGATGGCAGCATCGAGTCAAGGCTCCCGCCTGATGGGGCCAGCTCTGGGAACTGCAAAGACCAGGTTTCTTCCTGAGAAAGAATGGTTTTGGTCTTCTCCTCCAAGGCAACCCTCCTAAAGCCATGCAGAGTGCGGTCTGCCCACCTCACCTTCGCTGCACCTGGTGGACAACGGCAACATTGTGGTGCATTAGATGATGTTTTGTTTTGAGACTATGAGCATGCATCTTGGGTTGGCTTTCAAGCGGCTGACTTGGTAGGTGCAAGTGAGCAAGAAGGCTGGATTCCCTAGCTTGTTTCATGTCCAAGCCATTCAATGGAAAGGATTATTGGTGTTATTTAAAGAGGGACTGGGGGCACTTCTCAGTGATAGAGTGCTTGCCCAGCATTACAAAAACAGGACATATCTTACAAACATGTAAAGAGAAGAAACTGTTGAGGGTCTGATTTGCCTCTACCCTATATACCTTCAAACGAGAGCCAGCATCAGAATCTCATGGAGAGACTGCTTAAAGCATAGATGACTGGATCCTTCCCCCCAAAGCTCTTGACTCAGTAGACTCAGGCTAGGGTTGGCTTATTTGCATTTTAACAAGTTTTCCAGTGATGTGGAAGCAGCTGGAGCGGGGAATTGGTACTTTATACACTCACATTTAATCCTCAGCAGCCCTTTGATATGAGTATTGTCCTCGTTTTGCAGATAAGAAAACCTCCGTTCAGCAGCATAAATACTTGAAGCTGGGGATGTAGTCTAATGGAAGAGCACTCACTTAGACAAACTGGCTAACATACCGTAGGAGGTGGTAGGCTGGAATGCACGCCTCGTCGTCTGGCTCCCAAGTCTTTCCTCCATCTACTGCACTTGTACTTTGGGGGTCCCTCTGAGAGTCATGGCTTCCAAACACAGGGAACGGGGGCCGATACCAGTGTAACAGTTTGAGACTTGAAGAGTTTATGAGAAGTTGCTGAGCTGGCTTGCACAGACATGCTCCTGTGCGCAGGACGTGGCTTTGTACCATTTATTGATATGTCTGTCTTTGGAAATGAAATATTGGTGCTATTAGATATTTCAACCCCAAACTCAAACCTTGAATCAGGAAGATGGCATGAAAATGAGGCAGAAGTAATAAGTAATTACAGAATCTGTGAGCTTGCCCACAGAGAAGACACAGTTTGTCTACGGAAATAAGCAAATCAAAATCGGGTGCTCTTTCCCTAGCGGTGAATTGACATAATAATGATTCATCTGTGGAGCCCTGTGTGTCACCTGGGCTGGACTGAGCAGAGACTTTGCTCTGTGTTTACTATCCAGGTAATGCTTTCTTCCCCCAATCCCCCAACTTTAGATCAAGAATTAAACCTGAACTCTCAGAGGCAATATTTGGAATAAATATCTGTAAAGAACAGGGAGAAGACATAGAAGAAAGAATGGAGGAAGACTCAGAAAGAGAAAGGGAGGGAGGAAGGGAGGGAGGGAGGGAGGGAGGGAGGGAGGGAAGGACGGGATGCCCCTCCCTCCATTTAGTAGGCTTTGGCTTGCTCCGGTTCCTTCTTTGCAATCATCCCATTTGGCTTCAGACGCTGCACTTTGGGTTGCTTGGTCCTGCCGCTTCCGGCCTGTGGTGTGGGGAAGATGGAATGCCTGCTCACCTCAGGGGAGCCAGAAACAAGGAAAGACAGGTAGGGCTGGGGTCCCAGCGTCCCTTTTGATGACGTGCCAATGGCTTTATTTTCTCCTACTAGGGTACACATCCCGAAGGTCCCACGGCCTCTCATCAGTACCACAGGTGCAGAAGGGTCTTCCTCTTTGGGGGGACATTCCAGATCTTCTAGACCCAAAGTAGTACACTACCAGAGAAAGCAAAACTAACACTTGGAAGTGTGGCCTGCTGGTCTGGAGGCTGGGACAGTGGCCTTGACCCCCCCACTTTGTCCTTCTTTGCTGGGGGCTCAGCTCACACCAGATCCCCACAGCAGGGATGGCCACACCGCTGTTCTCCCATCCAGAGGATCTCCACCCCCACCCCCAGAGAATGTATCCCCTTCTTTAATTCCATTCTGCTGATGTTGGTGCTCAGCCTCACTATTCACCCACAGGCTTCCTCCAGTGATGTAAGCATCCAAACACCCCTCAAAGGTAGACTCCATGGTGGACAGAGTATGGCCCTTGATTAAGTGGAAAGCATCAGACAGGAGTTCCAGTGTTCAGTAAAGAGGGAGCGTGAAATAAAGACGTCAATAATGAAACTTTCTCGACTGGTCTATATGCTTACTGTCTGCTCTGGACTGAGTGTCTGTCTCCTAGAACTCATATGTTGATGCTCTAATCCTGTTTGATGGTGTCTGGAGATGGGCCTTGGGTAGAGAATTAGGTCATGAGGATGAAGCCCTGTGAATAGATCAGGGACCTTATAAAAAGAAACAGCATCTCTCAGTCTGTGTCTCTCTCTTGAAAAATTATTTCTATTTGTTAATGCGTGTGGATGTTTTCCTGTACACCTGTGAACTGCACGCATGTCTGGAGCACACGGAAGACAGAAGAGGCATCAGATCCCCTTTGCACTAGAGTTCCAGACCATTGTGAACTGACGTGTGAGTGTGGGAATCAAACCTAGGTCCTCCGGAAAGGCAGCCATCTCGAAGTCCCTCTGACTCTGTCTTTATGGTGTTAGCGTAAAGCAAGATGGCAGCCACTGTAACCTGGGAAGAGGGCCTCACCAAGGTGGTCTCTTGGACCACCCAGACGCCAGAGCTCTGAGACAAAAATTTCTGTTAAGTCACCAGTCTACAATACTTTTGTTTTGGTGCTGTTTTCTTAGCTACTTTAGAGTGAAAACTATCTTAAAAGAAACATATGTGATATATACATGTGTGTATGTGATATATATATATATATATTTATACACATAAATATATATATTAATTTTTAAAATGAGCCCTGATCATTTTCTTATTTAAAAAAAAAAAAAGGATAATAAGGGGCTGGAGAGGTGGCTCAGTGGTTAAGAGTACATACTGCTCTTGCTGAGGATCCAAGTTCAGTTCCCAGCACCCACAGGATGGCTCACAACCAACTGTGACTCCAGCTTCAGGGGATCAGACACCTCTAGCCTCTGAGGGCACCTGCCACATGAGCACACACCCTTATATGGACACATAATCATAAATAATAAAAATAAAAATTTAAAGGGTAAAAAATAAAGTAAGTTTACTAATAGCCTCTCACAGGACTCTCCGGGAGCAGAGGCGTTAGTGTGGTTCATGGGACAGGTGCAGGCTTCAGGAATAATGAACAGGAGAAGAAAGGCAGGGGAACCGTCAGATAACAGGGCTCCAAGGTCTCTATGAGCTGCTCCTGGATCAGACAATGTTTGCTGAGGATCTACTAAATGATGCTTATTGGTATTTAGGGCACAAAGATGTCCAAGACATGGATCCTACCTTTCCTGGCGTATTAACTGGCTTACCCAAATGATAAGGCTACTTCAGTGTGATTCCCCACAATCACAGACCCGGCATGGTTTATGAGACCAGGCATAGGCTGTCTCCCCTCTTCACTTTCCCAGTGCTGGGATTAAGACGAGCCTCACCATAGCCAGCTTTACGTGATTTCTGAGGCTTGCAGGGCAGGTGTTTTACCAACTGAGCCATCTCCCCAACCCTGTTCTGCAATTTTTGATCCTCCTGCCTCAGTCTCCCAAACTGCTGGGATTACAGGCCTGGACCACCAGGTCCCATTTGAAAAGAATGATATTGACACACTGTAACAGTGCTCATTGGCCACTTGCTCTGTGCCAAGCGTTTCCCCTTGCTTTATAGGCTGGGCGCCCCAAGGTCAGACTAGTGGACTGTGTGCGCAGCAAAGCTAGGCTTCAGACCCGGGGTGTCGCAGTGGCCACGCCCAGCACAGCCCCCTCCGCGGCAGCCATGTCTAAGATCACCTATGAGTCTTCGGAATTAGTTTATCGCTCCAGCTTATCCTGGGAGGTTCCAAAAAGTTGGGAAGGACTTTCTAGAAGTGGGTCTTGAAGGATAAGGTAGAACTTTTTAGTCAAATGTAGACAAAAGTGACCCAGGTAGCCGAAGAGCACGGGAAGCAGCTTTGGAAGTCCAGTTGATTGTGCACCTGTGACTCCAGAAGCGGGGATGAGGGCAGGGAAATAGGAAGAAAAAAAAAGGAGGCGCCTAGGCTGGTGGGTGGGGACCATCCTGTGTCAGGCTTAGACCTCTGACAGCAGAGCCACTAAAGAATGAAATACAGAGGCTCTGGACCGCCGTTTTTTTTTATTGCAGGATTGTAGACATATTGATGGAAAATTAGCATAAGCAGGAAAACAGGAAGATGACAATTTATAATTAATCTAGCCAGAAGCATTGTAGAGCTTCTGGGAAGAGTCAAGGGCTGGCGGCTGAAAATTGGATGCACTGAGAAGTGGTTCTCGTTCCTCCCACTTACTTTGCGTGGGGCTGAGAAGAAAAGCACAAGACCCAGCTCTGGATGGAGAAGCCCATTGGGAGGCTAGGTCTCTGTGCTGCCCGGCAGCCTGGTCACCTAGGTGACCGGTGGGCCGGAGGACTCCAGCTGCAGGAGCTGAGCGGCTGCCTAGGGCGAGGACAGCAGGCAGTTCCCGGGGACGCCTCTCTTTAGGCCGCCTTCTCTGCTGGTTGGCAGGGGCCCTTCTCGCCAAGGTTTCCCCAGTGCCCCGCCTTCCCTTTTAAAGGTTCTCTGAGAAACACAGATCTCTGTGAAATTAGATGGGGAGCAAACATTGTCAGTCCTAACGACTTTTTGATTACCGGGAGGATTGTCCGGCAGGAGCTCTGGAGGCAGAGAAGCATCCTTTAACGGCTGATGTGCTAGACTCCCGGGGCGCAGTGTGAGCCTGGCCAGGGGGCCAGCTTGCTGCGCAGCTCTTGGGATGCTGTGGGGGACTTCCTGCTTTCCTTGTCCGTGCTGACAATCAGTAGCAGCAGGTGTGGCCAGTACCAGTCAGTAAAATCAGAGGCTGGGGTGGAGGAAGCAAGCTCAATACGGGTATCAGGAACACCAACAGGCACAAGCCAGGGGACCCTGGGGCCGTGACCTCAGCTGCTGCATTTAATCTTCATGGGCACCCCTCTGGCAAAAGAGCGAAGATTATTTTGTTTTGCAGGTGAGGAGACTGAGTTCGGAGACGATGCCGGCCATTGCCTACGCCATGTCGGATCCCGCAGGCGCCCGCTGTTCTGGATTGAGTACACTCTCAGCAGCACGTCCTTCCTCTACAGCACCTTCTCCTGAGTTCCTTGTTCGCAGCTTCCAGGACCTTGGCAAATGCTCAAGGTCAAAGTTCCCAGGGACAAATCCCAGTGTTTACCTCAAGATGTGTGGCTGTCATGGGGGGGGTGGGGGGGGTGGCGACTTTTGTTTCTAGGGTCCAAACGGCATCAGAGGCCTCCGGGAGTGATCTTTGGACTTCACCTTGCTCCCCTGCTTGTCCAGACCACCTTTCCTACACCCCTCGCATGTCCTTGTGTCCTCTGGTGTCCTGCTGCACGGCGCCAAAGGTCGTTTAAACACTAAAAATAGCAGACGTAGAAATGAGTGCCCAAGAACCGCCTATGGTGTGATGTGAAGTGCTCCCTGGAGACGCCTGTGCTGAGGGCTTCATTTCCAGCGCGGCAGCGCCAGAGGCCAGTGGGTTATGGGAGGCCTGAGCTGGTCAAGAGAATTCACCCATTGCCTTAGGGGGATGGACTGGGAGGCACAGCAGACTGCAGGAACCAGCAGGCAGCAGGGAGCAGGCAGGCGTGCTTGCGGTCTAGTTTCGCGATGCTTTTATTTTTGCTTTAGTTTTGTGTTTGTTTTAGTTCCTCCAGACAGGGTTTCTCTGTGTAACCCCCTTGACTGTCCTGGAACTCGCTCATGTAGTCCAGGCTGGCCTCGAACTCACGGAGATCCGCCTGCCTCTGCCTCCCAAGAGCTGGGATTAAAGGCGTGCGCCACCAACGCCCGGTTTGTTTTAGGATTTTAAAGCCAGGATTTCATCTAGGTCAGGCTGGTCTCAACTTTACTGTGTAGGCAAGGCTGGCATAGAGAACTCCTGATCCTCCTGCCTCGGCCTCCCAAGTGCTGAGATTGTAGGCATGGGCCAACACACCCAGAGCCCTGCCCCCATACTATTTTTCACTTTTTTTTTTTTTCTGTTTTCAATTCAGATCGAGGTTTATTATTTTTATTAGTCTTTCCAAAGGATCAACATCTGGCTTTTTAAGATATTATGTAATAGTTAAAAAAAAAATCTTTGATCCTGTCTCTATTTGTTCATATTACTTTTTTTCCCAGGTTGGCCTTGCACTTGCCTTGCAGCCCAGGTTGTTTTCAAATCACTGTAATCCTCCTGCCTCATCTGCTGAGTGCTGGGATACAGGTGTAAGCCATATGCTTGGCTCCCTTCTAATTTATGTGGAATTATTATGTTATTTTTTAATTCCTTAAGCTGAACAAAACTCATTTTGAAATGTAGTACTTCATTAGTGTTTTTCATGCTTAAAATGTCCATTGTGATTTATTCTTTGATTTGGCAATCATTTATATTTCTTAATTCCTGAGGGAATTCTCCCAGTTATAATTTTTGTTTTGCTCAGATGGAGTACCTATCACACTGGTCAGAAAACTTTGTTCGCATGTTCCCGTTCCTTTCAAATGGTCTGGCCTGGACCTACTCATCGGCTAGTCTCCATCAATAGCCCAGGGAACTGCAAGCGTGTGGACTTCAGATTTCAGGAATTATTGAACCGTTTGTACACTGTGGCCTTTCGCAGTTTTTGTGTGCTTGAGCTGCTGTGTACTCAGAGACGTCACCATTTCATGCTGCAGTTGTGGGTTTGTCTACGCTCTGTGATAGTTCCATACCTTTGTTCCGCGCTCTTTACATTCTTATTCAACACTTTACACTCAGTGGCTGGGAATTTGTTTATTTACTTAGTGGCTGGCCTTGCAAGCACCCAGACCTGAGTTTGATACCCTAGAATCCATGGAAACAGGGGTTGTGGTGACCACTTGTAATATCGGCACTGGGATGGGGGAGATAAGGGATCTCCGGAGCCTGCTGGCTGGCCAGTCTAGCCTATTAGGTGAGGAGCAGGCCTGTGAGAGACCCTATCTCAAAACCAAGTGGGACAGCATGTGAGGAGGACAGCCAAGTTTGTTTTTGGCCTGCACCAAATGGCAGTGCTACTGACCATGTCCCAAATGACAGCCCTGGCCTGAGCTAGGCCGGATTCTGATTGGGTAAACAGAAACCTAAAGTCAGCACTCCTCAGAAACCTCATGATGTGGGTTTCTGTGAGGAAATCCACTACTCACATCCCTTCTCCATACCTTATAGTCACCTGTGTTGGCCAAAGCACATCTAGCTCCTGATTAACCCCAACAGCCGGTGTCCTGTCAGACCCCATCCTGCTGACTGTCATAAAATCCATTTGATTTCTCTCAGGGCTCTCTCTACTCTTTGAGATAGCCGGGCAGTGTATCTCCCTATAAACTGTTTTTCTACCCAAGGGGTGGTCTGGCTGGTTTTGCTGTGCTTACTTACAGTGTGTAAATGCAAACACACACACACACACACACACACACACACACACACACACACACACACACACACACACAGGTTCTTGCAAAACTGCTCAAACACAAACTGATAAGTTTTAAATCCCCACTTGCTGGGTATCCACTGCTGCTGATGTAGTAAGCCAAATCAAGCCAAATTAATAAATCCAGGTTTAATGAACAGAGCAAAGCAATCCTGGATGACCCTTGGGAAGGCAGGGTCATGGGGGAAGAGTCACAGGGGAAGGGTCACATGGCAAATATGGCGTGGTCTTGAGCAGCCCCAGGAAGGGACTGGCTTTATTGGGGATTCCTCAGGGGCAGTGGTCTGGACTGGGAGGGCAGCTCTAGGGGAGGGGCTACTGGGCTTTGAGGGGGTGGGCTTGGGGAGAAAGAGATGGGGAGGGGGGTTGAGGTGATGCTTCCACCAGAACATTCCAGACCGTTTGGGTATGTGGGTGTCGGGGCTGAGGGGGACCTTCCACCAGAACATTCCAGACTGTTTGGGTATATGGGTTTCGGGGCTGAGGGGGACCTTCCACCAGACTCCTTTGGGTATAGGGGCACTGGTTCAAGTCTGGCTACTTCCTATGGGCACGGGATAATGATAATATTATATCCTTCTGGGGCCTTTGATGGAGTTGAAGACTAGATAGTTATAATTATAGTTTTCCTTAGTCATGATAAAAGGTAAATTAGATATGAAACTCTAGACTCACAAAAATAGGATAGATGATAGAACATTTTCTTTAATTTTGCCAAATACAAGCAGACTAGATATTGTAACTGTAATTCTCACTTGATAACTGTTTTGTAATATATAATTTTACTATGTTAAACTTAAAACCTTTTTTTTTTTTTTTTTTTGTTTTTCGAGACAGGATTTCTCTGTGTAGTTTTGGTGCCTGTCCTGGATCTCACTCTATAGAACAAGCTGGCCTCAAACTCAGAGATCTGCCTGGCTCTGCCTCCTGAGTGCTGGGATTAAAGGCGTGCACCACCACAGAGCAGCTGAAAACCTCCTTTTTGATTAGACAGAAAAGGGGAAGTACTATGGGATGTCTTTCTGTACACTGTGAATATGTGTTGCTACCACTGGTTAATAAAGAAGCTGCTCTGGCCTATGGTAAGGCAGGTTATAGCCAGGCAGGAAATCCAAGGAAAGATATAGGGAGAAGAAAGGCGGAGTCAGAGAGACACCATCCAGCTGCCCAAGGAGCAAGATGCCAGCAGACTGGTAACACCAGGGCCACATGCCACGTGGTGATACATAGATTAATAGACATGGGTTAGTTTAAGATAAAAGAGCTAGTTAGAAATAAGCCTAAGCTATACACCAAACAGCATGTAATTAATATTAAGCCTCTGAGTGAGTGATTATTTTATAAAAATGATTGCTGCCCGAGTGGGATCAGGCGGGACGGAGGAACTGCAGTCTACAAAGGCTTCCCTAGAATGTGAGGAGTTCCTACCCCGTCTCTTCGGCTTCTATGATTTTGTGATTATAGGGCATGTGCCACCACATCCACCTCTTCTTTCCTTTTCCTTCACTCCTCTCTTTCTCTCGCTCTTCTTCCCCCTTCCCTTCCCTCTTCCTCAATCCCTCTCTCTTCCCTCCCTCCCTCCCTCCCTAATTTCTCATCTCATTTTGTAGTACAGGCTAGCTTACAGTCACTCTGTGGCCCAGGCTGACCTCCGTCGCACGGTGATCTTCCTGCTCAGCCTCCCGAGTCCAGGCAAGCTGTGCGAGGTGTAGCTTTGTTGCCCGGGCTCTGCTTGAACTTCTGTGCTCAGGCAAGCCTCTGCCTGTTGAAGAGCTGGGACTGCCAGCATGTGGTACCGTTCCTGGCTTTCTGTGCTATTCCAGAACAGCTCACAGAATTCGGGACCACATGGGCTTCAGTCTATTGCGAGGGATGTTATAGAGGATACAGGTGAACATACAGGTGTACGCAGTTAAGTCCCAGGGCGTTCTGCGGGAGGGGGTTTCTATGCGGCTGGAGTACAGCACCCTCCCACCATGTGGAGGTGTTCACCAGCTAGGAAGCTTGTCAAGGCCCTTCACATAGAAGCTTCCACAGATGTTTCGTCATGCAGAAATGGTGAATCACTAATGCAGTCTCCAGCCCCCCTCATTTTCTCCAAGGGGGAGTAGGCTGCTAATTAAGGCCCGGCCTTTCTAGTTAGCAGCCCCCATCCTGAAGCTATCCAGGTGCTCAGCATGATACACCTCGTTAGAGTAAAAGGAACTCTTATCGCCCAGGAATTCTCCGGAATCTAGGGGCCTTGAGTCAGGAAGCAGGGTCAAAGGCAAAGAGCAGAAATGAAGGCTGCTATAGGGAAGCACAGCATTTCGGATCTCCGCCAGGAGAGGACAAGCACCCAGTAGGGATTTCTTCTTATGCTACATAGGCTCCCTGCGTCTCTCCTGTACTCCTTTGGTCTTTGATGATGTTGGCCTCATCCTCATGTCCCAGACAGCAGTGCTTCATTATGCCAGGCCTTCATAAGCCAAAGGGACTTTCTGGGTCTAGGTGATGAGGCACCCTCATGGTCTTCAGTCGGCCATGGCCACCACAGATCAGGGAGCACTGTTCAGTGGGGGATGGAGGACGGTGAATTCACTAAAGAAACTGTGTATTGTTGTCCAGAGGGTTGGGGGTAGGTGCCGTGGGCCAATGAGTTCGTGTCCTCTAACTTTCTCAACCGTGTGCTCAAAGACAGAACTGGAGATGTCGATCCCTCTTGTCTATGTTTTGATCATAGGTGGTGAGTGTTTTCTTATTTGGACTGAAACCAGACAGGGTCCTCTGATGTCAAATTTGTGAGCTGAGTAAACATTGCATTGTTATTCTTAGGGGAGGGGAAATCACTAAGAAATCAATGAAGAGTCAATTTGCTGGGACTTCTACATGCCAGAGTTCAGACTAAGCTGTGTAACTACCTTCTCATTCCAAACGGTGGGAAGTGAGGAGGGCATTTCTGGAAAGGCCATTAGAATCAC